TGTTACGTTATAGATGGCATTTTCAACAAAAGAAAACTTTCACTTTTATAATGAAATATAGAAAATTTTTGAATAAGCAAACAAAAAATTTATGTAGACTTTACAATAAAATATAATAATTTATTATATTTATTTTAAGTTAATCATGATGTTAAAGACCTTCTTGACGATCTGATCGTTCAAATTCATCTTATGAATACACTTTGTGAAAATATATCAATTAAACTTGAGCCACGTCATCATAAAAAATTTAAAAAAATAAAAAATCAATCTGTTACACGAAAACAAAAGAAGCGTCGAATTTTTTCAAGTTCTGAAGATGATAGTTCATCATCATCTGATGATTCATTTGTATCTCAAGATAACAAGTAAAATCTATTAGTGTTTCTTTTTGGATGTAAATCGTATTTCTTCTTTTTTTGTTTTTAGTACACTTATCAATGAAGATTCAGATGATGATGAACAAAAAGCGCTTCGTAATCGTCATGGTCCACGTACACGTAATGAACTTGCTATTGATGAGCTTCCACCAATTGAAAATCTAACAATTACACTTAGTGATGAAACACCTATTGAACGACTTGGACATGTTCGTCATATTGTTGATGGAAAATTAGTAATCATTGAATCATTACTTTATTCACCACCACTTAATGATGATACTGTTCTTTTTAATCGTGATCGTCGTTCAATTGGACTTATATTTGAAACATTTGGACCAGTTGAAAAGCCATATTATTCTATTCGTTATAATGATATTAATAGTATTCATCAACGTCAAATAGAATTAAATCAAGAAGTATTCTATGCACCTAAAGAAACAGCATATACAAAATATGTCTTTGTGCAAGAATTAAGAGCATTAAAAGGTTCAGATGCATCATGGGAAGATGATAATGAACCACCAAAATTTGCTATTGATTATAGTGATGATGAACAAGAACGTGCAGCTAAAGCATTACAACGAGGAAAAAAACATATGGAAGAGAACACTGATGCACAAATGACCGATACAATAAATAATGATACCAATAGGTATTTGAAGTTTCTTTTTACAAAAGAAAACTAATTTGATTCTGGATTTATTTTTCTTATAGTATTTCTTCAAATTTTTCAAATTTTGAACGTGGTCGAGGTCGTGGTCGTAATCGAGGATTTCATCGTGGTACTAATAATCGACCTCCACCAAGTTTACCTAATTGGTTTCAAAATACTTCTAGTTCAACTTCTTTTCAATATCGAGCACAACAACAACAACAATCACCTACACAAAATAATAATAATACTACTATTGTTTCTGCTCCATTTGCATTCTCAAGTATGGCACATTCCGGTGATAATAATCGAAATGTACGACCAACACAACAATCATTTCAAGGAAATAATTCTACTCATAGTGTTTTTCCTTGGATGTAATTTGTTTACATTGCTTTCTTTTTGTTATAAATGAAAAACAAATAACATAATTGAAAAAAAAAACTCAATAATCTTTTTTTTTTACATCATATTTATATTGAGCACATCTATATTTAAATCATGTCAACATTTACAAGCATCATGAAAATCATTTATTTTTATATATAAGAGAAAAAAAATTAACATGGATCAATATAATGCTATTATTATAACAAGTATAAAAAGAAATCGGTCGGAAGCATAGGAAAATGGATTTTAAAAGAGGGTGGAGAAAAAAAGGAAAAAAAAATATTATTGTTGCTGTTGTGATCATTGATACAAATAAATTAAATCTAATGAATTTCTTCGTTTTTTCTGTCTCTTGAAGAAGGACTTGTTCTTTGCATTGTAGACAAAAAGAAAACAGATAAATATCAAGTGGATACTTAGGTATGCTTATCTGCCGGAACTACGAATAGATTCTTTGAATAAAGACGAGAAAAGATTCATATTAATATAGTAATTTTCTTTTTTTAATGCTGTTTTTCATCTGAGTAAATCTTCACTCATATTAATCGATCGATAATCATCATAAACAAGTATAGATAACAAAACAGTCGAGTTTAGGAGATAGATATATATCCATCTTCTGACTTTCTCAAGCGATGACAATGAAATGATGACAGAAAATTTGTTGAGCATTTCCATCCTATTTTATGTATTACTTGTTTATCATGAAAACATACACAGGCATACTGTTAAAGAAAAGATAACATCTGTGTATTGGACTAGACCAGAAACAGATATGCCTTTATTGACACACATCGTTATCATCTGAAGTTCTCAATATATCTATAGAATGGATGCATCATAAGACCGATTACTAAGGCAAATACAAACATATGTATGCATTCAGAATAGCTCGTTTTTTTGTCAGCTTTTTTTATCTGTCACTGAGCTTACAATAAGAATACATATGTATGGATAGCAACAGAGATATGTCAGCAAAGATTTGTATATGGAAATGGATAATGGATATAAACTTGTTTTGATTTTTATTTCTCCTCTACTTGACAGTACCAAGTATATATATATATGTAATGTCTAAAAGAATGACATATTGCGACAAAAAAAAAAGAAAAAAAAATAGAAAGTGTTGAACGCCATTGTTGTGTCGAGCATTATTAACATGATAGTGAATGAGCAATCGTTTATCAACGATACGAACTGTCATTCTCGTTTCTTTTTTCCGCTAGTTGTCTCTTGTGTCTATGTGTATTCACAGTAGTATTCACATCGTCTTTTGTAGCAACAACGATGAGTGCTCATCATCATATGGGCTATACTAATACCACATGCATTTGCGTTTAGTTGTCGAAAAAGACAAGAAGAGAAAGAGGAGAAGAAGAAGAAGATAGAGACCCTAAAGACTAGTGATGCTATTAATGCTGTTCAAAATATGAGAAGAAGCGAGTATGAATGCGACAAAAAAAAACTGATGTTTCTACTATCGTCATTGTCGTCGAAGAACAAGAACAGAAGTAGAATACTACCGTCGCTTCTGACCGAAGCATTCGTACGCTCATAACAGAGAGAAAAAAAACTAAAGAAAGCAAAAGAAAAAAACCAGAACAAGAAGGAAAAGACGAAGAAGAAGCAGAAGAAAATGAGGAATAGTAGTGGGAAAAGATATGCTTCTAGTGTTCTTGCTTGTTTGTTTGCTAGAGACCAAGTTCTTTGTCGAAGCGAACATGAAATCTACATTTATGTTGTATATCTAGGAATGTGTTGACTCGACTTGTCTTCGAAAGAAAAAGACCGTACGTTCTCGCTAAAGAATTCCGGTGAGACTTAGTGCATGGGCACAAGAGAGTGCGAAAAATTTGCCCTTCGTTTTTCTTTTTCCTTTTCTCTTATCTAAAGACAGGCATGCACGCGCGACAAACTATACGCTTGTCAATAAATTTAGGTAGTAGAGTGTGTAATAGAACAATAAAAATAGATAGAATGCTTATGTCTGAATGTGTGCGTGAAAAAAAATATAAAACGATACTTCTTCCTGTGTATTCATTCGTTTCCATTTCAGCAAAAAGCATAAAGGAGAAAAAAGAAAGAAACAGAAGAAGAAGAAAGGACAGAAATAAGTTAGTGTGAAAAATCAAGCGAAGAAAAAGAGATGGGTTTGAAATAAATGAAAGAAAAATAATAACACATTAGATGTATATTTATAAGTTCTCGGTTTTTTTTTCTGTTACATAAACAAATATTATAGCATTAAAATGGACATTTATCACTTATGGTAAGGTTGACTGTATAATATGTATATAATAATAATATATTTACAGTCAAACAAATAGATAAGAACAATGATATATGATAGTTCATTATCATTTCATGTTTCTGTATACATCTACATCTTCAATCACTGTCTTAGATTTCTTCACACTTTTCTCATAATTATTTATTTTTCTCCGCTTCATTATTGTCAACTTTTATTTCATTAGGTTTTTTTTCGTTTATTCATTTTGTTCGATTTTTAAAGTCATTTTGTTAAGTATATTGTATTATAAGCAAGTATTTCTTTAAATACAATATCAATTCATCTAGTATGATTTTATATGTTTTACATGTAACATATGTTCTATAAATATTACGGATTTTGTTTTTTCAATCCGTCGAAATCGATCGATTTAATTAGGATAACCCATTCATATTTTTATCAATAAAAACAATCAAATCGAAGGAACAAAATTATGAGACAGAAATACAGTCAAGAGAACAAAACATGTGCTATCTGTGTAACATAATGAGTTCTATTATTAGTATGCAATTTAGACTAATAACGCCACATGATTATCGAGCAGAGACAGAGAACGAGAAAATGCAAATTCGGATATTGATTACTTTGACGTACAAGCATAGCTCGAGACCTGCACGACCTACTATTACCGCACACGATTCAACGCTTGCATTCAGAATGAAGAGCCAAGTGAATGTCAAAAAACAAATGATCAATTATCGGGCGAGCTTGCGAACACAAGCCTTCTTGCGTGCGCCCGGGCATCGGGCAGGAAAAGAAGAGAAGAAGAATTAGAAGAAGACGACGACGACAACGACAAAGACGAAGAAGAAAGACAGAAAGAACAGATTTAGTCTCTGAAACGACGATGTTGAGTAGTCGTGTATTGTAGTTTAGATGAAACAGTCGATAACATAAGAAAAGAAGATGTCGAAGAACAAATGAGGATAAAGTAAAAAAAAATCGCCAGTAAGCAAATGAGTCTTAGTCTATATTAATAAATTATAATCTCTAAGACGCATTAAAAATGTCTTATCAGATAAATATCCAACAGAAATGAAGATTGAAAGATTTTTCTATAGTAATTATTTACTGTTAAACTATCGATATAATAAAATATTGGTAAAAAAAATGTTCTTTTATTAGGTTTTTTTTTAATTTTCATTTCTTCTGCTTCATTTTTTTTTCTATAACTAACATATATATAGAATGGAAAATCATATAGAGAATACAATTAAATTATCTAGTTCTCCTTTTTTTTTCCTCATTCTCGTAGCTTGAAAATATTATTATTGTGATCCTAATCATGAAACAGAAAAAATTCGAACAACAACATTATCATTCACGCGATGACTACGGTCATATATCATCGTCATCGTCGTCATCATCATCATCATCATCATCATCTTATATCCAGCTTCGAAATAATAACAATATGTTAACATTTTCTACATCAAAACAATCACTATTTAATAACATACATATTCGTTCATATATAATTATATTTCTATTCATATTTCTTTTATTACTTCTTACATTTTGTATTTTATTTCCTGCACAAAAAAATACGAGTACATATTTAAATCATCGTTTAAAAAGACAAATAGTATTAACAAATACACCTAAAAATAATGATAAACAACATTATACAAATATGTTACGTCGAATATTATTACATCGAACAAGTTCATCTGTATTAGCTGATTGTACAATAAATATGGCATCAGATGGAATCTATCATTTACCATTAGAAAATTCATTATCATCAGAAATCATTCGTTTAGTTGAACAATATTTTCAAAAAGAATTTAATGCATTAAAACACACAGCACATAAAATACGTGATAAAATAAATCAATCATCAAATTATCTAGGTGATTTTGCTCTAGCAAAATTTCGCGATGAATTTAGTATATCAATACGTTTATTACTTGCTAGTCAATTATCAATAAAAGAAATCAATTTAATGATAGCAACACCTTTATCAAGTAATAATAATAATAATAATAATAATAATCCTGGTTCATATGTTTATTATGATACATTAAAATATTATCGTGCTAGTAATCATACAACAACAATGAATCAATTCGATTATGATTCAATACAAGATGTTAAATTAAAACAAAATGTAAATATTATATTACAAACATTTACACCATCAAATGCACGTGAAACATTAAAACAAACAATAAACAATAATTATTCATTAATTAACGATGGTTGGTGGATTGGACCTGTTTTATGTGAAAAAAATAAAAATGAAACTTTTATTATGGCATATATTTTTCCATTAGCAAATAGGTAAAGAAACTAAAAACAATTTAATGATAGTATATACTTTGTTTTGTCATAGCTATTTTCTTGTCACTTATTTCAATATATCAACTGTCGATATAAATCAATGTGCCAATAATGATGTACCATTTGGTGATACACATAAATGTCCGTCTGGAATGAAAGTAAACGATTAGTTTTTTTGTTTTTTTTTTTAATAGTCTTCTATTGTACATATGTTATTTTTGTTGTTTGATTAGTGTATTCATCAAATTGGTCAAGGTTTTACTTTAGGTGCTTATGAATGTCATTGTTCAGATTCATCTGATAATAAAAATTTAACAATTAAAGGTAATCAATTAGAATGGAATGAAACAAATGATGATTCATTAAAATCAATGATAAATACATGTGAATGTAATCTTGAAACATGTCGTTTAAAACATAATCGTTTTTTACGTACAATAATAATCATAATACAATCGATATTTATTGTTTTTGTTGCTATACTTGCTGCTATTGTATTTCAAAGACGTAAGATAAAAATTATTAAACATTCAATGTGGATTTTACTTGAACTTGTACTTTTTGGTGCCGTATTACTTTATGCATCTGTAAGAAGAAGAAAAAAAAATAATAATCATATGATTAGAACAAAATTGAGTTTTTTTTCGATATTCTTTAGGTTATTGTCGATAGTTTTGGACCACATGGAATTGTTTGTTTAATAATGCCATGGTTACGTGAACTTGGTTTTACAATTGTTTATGGAACATTAATATTACGTATTTATAAGTAAGTTTTATTTAAAAATAATATATAAGCAAAATAAAAAACATTTTGTTTTGTTAAAGAATGTTAGCAGAATTTCAATCTCGTAAAGCTCATTGTGTACAAGTTAAAGAAAAAGATATTTTACGTATATTATTTTTTATTTCAATAACAATAATTGGTTATTTACTTGGTTGGACATTAGTTAATATAGATCATTCAAATGAAAACATATCACTTAAAAAATATTTATTAGGAAGTGGTTTTACAAGAAAAGAAAATTCTTATTTTCAAACATGTCGACCACGTTCATGGGATTATCTTGTTCAATTTGGTTTGTTTAACAAAAAAAAGAAAAAAAAAACGATTTTACATTTTAAAAATTCATTGTTTCTTTTCTTTCTTTTAGCCGAATTTATTTTTCTTTGTATTGGTATTCGTTTTATCTATAGTACAAGAACAGCTCCATGTGAATATCATGAAAGAAAATTAATAACTATTGCTATTGTATGTGAAATGATTTTTTCAACATTACTTCATATTATTAGGTAAGTTTGTTAAAGAAAAATATCTTTTAAAGATTTACTTTTTTTTGTTTTTTATTTTGATAGAGATTGTTTATGGTCAACAGTTGATCCTGATACACTTTTTATTTTATCTGTATTACGATGTCATTCGACAGTAACATGTATGCTGATACTTATTTTTTGTACAAAAGTAAATTAAAAACACAAAAAAAAAAAAATTTTTTTTTTTGAAATTAATTATTGATATTTTTAATATTGTGTTTATTTAAGTTATGTTATATATTTCGACCATTTCATGAAGATCATTCAGGACGTGATCGTTTTCGTTCTGTACCTGATGGTATTGAACCAGCAGATCTTATAACTAAATTACATTTAAATGGTGATATAGAATTTGGTGAATTAAATTTACGAGATATGGATCCAGAAGAAATTCGAGTAAGATTATTAGTTATGAAACACAAACTTAGATTAGAAGAAAAAAAATGTTTTTTTTTTTTTCGTTTAAAGGCGGAATTGAAACGTTTATATACATCATTACATGTATTAAAAACGAAAACCATGCGTAAAGATAATCCACATTTAACTAAACGACATGGACAAAGACGTAAAAATCGTCGATTTTCTATACAACCATTTCAACGTCATGCTGGTGCAACTGTAACAACGACAAGTGCTGGTGGACCAGTAAGTGTATCAATTGGTGGAGAAAAACATGAACATGAACCAACAAAAACACCTGAAGACAGTACTGGTAGTCATAATGAACATCCACATCTTGGTGGAATGAGTACTCATCATGGTAGTGTAGATGATATTGATTATCCTCATGCACGAACATTATCAGATTTAACAAGTACAATGACATCGACAGCAGTTGGTCAACGAGTTACATTTAAATAGGTTTCTTTTTTTTTTCGTGATTTATTATTATTATTTTTTTTCTTGTTTTGTTTATTTTCTTGCTCTCTCTCTCTCTCTCATCTGACGGTGATGAATTCCACTGTTTGAATGTGTAGATTTTTCATATATACGCGTCCGATAATAATATTTGTATCGTTTGTTTTTTTTTCATTTGCCTTCAATTTTTTTTTTTGTCATTTTTTTCGGAATTTAATTGCGCGTATGTGTATTCTGGAAAAAGAAACAAAGCAGCAGAAACTCATAATACGAATAATAATAATAATAATAATACTAATTATCTAAGAAAAAAAAAATGAATCTATATTTAATAGCACTATGATATCTAATGAAAAGTTCGTTTAGCAATATTTTTTTTTCATTATTTTCAGTGAGAATTTGCTTCGACAAACAAAAATCCGATCTAGTATATATTGATTAAATTACGACTAATATATGTAGTCAGATTATGTTTCGTTTTGACTGGTTTCTTTTTTTTTTTACACACCTTGGGATTTCAACACATGTAACCTCATGTGTACTTGTCATATTAGTTACATTGTCCGTTCTTGTGTTTTTTCTCTCGAGGGATTTTATTGAACATAATGTAAGAGATAAGTGTCTGACCTTATTTCATTATAGAATACTATTGTTTTAAAATATAGAAGAACGTGAAATTCTTTTTCTTGAGTATAGAGCAAGTCTATTTAAAAATGAAAGCATAGTAGCACTCTAAAAGAGCACAAAAAAAAAGTAAATGAATGTAAAAGAAGGATGAAGGAATGTGTGAGAGAGAGAGAGTCTGTTCGCCAAGAACAGAGGAGATGTATAGAGAGAAGTGAGAAAAAAGAGAGAGAGCAAGGATATACATGTCGATAAAGTTGCGGTTGTATTCTATTGAAAGAATCAACAGAAATTTATTTCGACAACCACACGTTTTCAAATATTTGATTACCATCACCATCATCATATTGATTTCTTCTTTGTTCATCATGTATACTTTCACTTCACTTCATACTTTCTTTTCTTGATTGATACATGAAATATTTCTTCTTCGATTCTTAGATGTTGAAATTCAAAGAAATGCATTGAAGGAAATAGAAATATAATATAATATAAGGAAATATGAATGTTCAAAGTTCTTGTCATCATCATCATCATCAACAACAACAACATGAACGAGACACATTTGAAGGCAGATATCAATTATTAAAAAATGAATTTAAACAAAAAAATGATATGATTGATAAAATAAAGTATATCCTATAATTAAATATAATTTTAGTTGTTTGGTTTTGAAAATATAGATGAATTTTTTTTGATATTCATAAAAATAATTATTTAGAAATGAAATTGATCATTCAAATCAACAAAATGAATTATCACGGTCAACATCTATTTCAACTGAACAATTAGTTAAATATATTATTTTAATTTTAAATGAATTGTTAATTAATATTTTTTTATATTTTTTATTTTTTATATTTAAAGTTTGCTCGTACTCCTCAACGTTCAAATAACAATTTACTTGTAAGAATTATTTAGATGTTTTTGATTTTGAAAAATGATAATTCTATCTATGAATGTATAGATTAAAAATCGAGAAATAGCCAAATTGAAAGCATTAATTTTTGAAAAAGATAATGAACTTATTGCACTTAAATTAGCTAATAAAAATGCTCTAACACAGGTTTGTTATTGCAATTTAACTAAAAAGAAAGAAGACAATGTTGTGTTTTGTTTGTTGTTTGTATATATAGATGGAAGAACAAATGGAACGTGAACGAAAAGTATGGAATGAACATAAAGAACTTTTATTAGTCAGTGAACGAACAAAATTTGAAGAAGAAAAATCTCATTTATTTAAAGATTTACAAGATCAATTAAAACTTGAACAAGAACGTTGTCAACGTTTAGAACAAAAATTACATGATACACAGATGGTTCGTCATAGAATTCTTTGATTTCTTTTCTTTCTATTCTTATACAAAGGCTTTAAAAATAAATTAGTTTTCTGTTTTTTTTTTTTATAAATTAATATTTCATTAAAAGAAATGCGCAAATAGAAAAGAAGAGGTTTTTGTTTAATGTAGGTCTATTTATCTGAGATCATTTCTTTCTTGTTTAATACTCTCGATTCTTTTCTTCTTCTTGTTCGTCTTCATACTCTTTTCATTGTAGGTATCGAGTGAAGCCCAATTAATGTTAAAAGACAGTGGCCGTGAACGGATCAATGCTGTTTACGGCACAAAAGAACAATGTCGCAAAGAATTTCAAGATGAAATTACTCGACTACGTAATCAATTTCAATCAGTACGTAGCAGAAAAAAAAGTTTTTAAGGTTTGACATTTTTTTGCATATGAAAAGTACTCTTAACAGTGATTCAGTGTTTTAATAATTTTTTTTCTTCATCTTCTAGTATTTGAAGAGCTAATAGACTTTCGATTTAATCAATAGTATATCATAGATACGATTTTTTTTTTCTATATATGTAGATATAATGAAAAATTGTTATAAAAAAAATAATATATCTAGTATTTGATGAATGACAAATAAACGTTCTAGAAATTAAATATATGGTATAGAATTATTCGTTTTCAAAATTTTGAAATTTTTTTATTTTGAAATCTTAAGTGTATATCTAATAAATAAATGAGATACAAATTAGAATTCGTCATACTTACAAGATTATCCACAATTTCCACATGAATTGTCATTCATTATACTATAATATAATAAGAAATGACAGGATCATCACTAATGTATATGCTATTTATTAAACATAAATGAACATGAGAAATATAGTGAAGTGAAACATTGTAGATTCTTAATTATATAACTATAAGTTATTATGATTGGTGTATTTTCATTAATTAAAATATATTTTGACAAAAAAAGAAAAAGATTTATTTTCATAATATTCTTAAGTAAAATTATTGAGACAGCTCTTGAAATTAAGTAAAATAATCAAAACACTTTCATTATTGTTTAAATAGATACCTTTTAAATATTGTATGAATGGTAACGAACTGGATTGTGTATCTAATAATTCAATCAATTCAATGCATTTTTATTTTGATAATGGAAAAAAAATGTCTCTTAATATCAAAACTTTATCCTTTTTGAATACGTTTTTTTTTTCATATAGAATAACAATTTTGACATTTGTAGTGTTTTATTCAGATTTGAAAGAGCACGAGGAAGTTCTATAATTGAATATATTTGTATGCTGAACATACTAAACAAAACATCACATTATTCATCTACAAGATATTAGATTTTATATGTTCAGAACAACATTTTAGACATCATGTTAAAGAAAGAACTATACATTCATTAATGAAGTCACCACATGAATATATTCATTCTATCTAAATGTTAGGGATTAGTCTTGAAAGATTTCATTATATATATACTTCATTTAATTTATCTGTCAAAGACAAAGTCATTGTTGATGAATTGACGTATACTAAAAGAGAATTAATCGTTATGATAAAAATTTATTACAATTTATTTGTACGATTACAATTCATGAAATTTCATTGATCTAACATTCTTAGTCACGATTGTATACTTTACTCAGACAGTTCTAACTCATCTATATTATTGAAAACATTCTATAGAAATAAAAATTTTAGTCTTATTTAAAAGATAATGCATTTTTTGACTACTGTTGATTATATAAGTTATAAGATTTTTTTCCATTAAAATGACAATAATAAATTTCATTTAGGAGAAAAATGCTGAATTGGCTCGTATACAAGAACGTATTCATGAATTAGAAGATGCATTAGATCATGTCTCAACTAAAAATGCTGATATAACTTTACGTCAACATGAATTATTTCTAAATTTGGAAACATCTGAAAAAACTTGTGTTCGTTCAATAAATGATTGTATTAAAAAATTACTCATAGCAATGGATAGTCCATCACATGTCTATACTAAAATTTCGTAAAAATAAAAATTTTCATTTCAAAAAATTTTAAATTTATTTTCTATTTTCTTTTTAAAGACATATGACATCATTGACATATGATCGAGAATCAATTATTGAACGATTACCAACTCGAAATGCACTTGTATGTTATTAATATAGAATAAAACAATAGCAGGAAATTTCATCTTTTCATTTTTTTTTTCATAGAAATCACTTCAAGATACAGTTGATGATATTAAAAATTATATTATTGAACAAAAATTACAAATTGAAGGAAAAACAAAATTGTTAAATAAATCAAAAATCTTAACAGATCGTGTAAATGATTTAGAATTTTTTTATTGTTAAATAACATTAATAATAATTTTTATTTTATTTTAAGACAATGGATTATTCAAATCGAACTTATGATAATGATAATAATAATAGTAGTCGAAATCGTTATCAATTAACTATAAAAAATTCTTTTTCAAAAGATCAAAAAGAAAATGATCATTATTTTCATGATAATGATCGTCTATCACAACCATCTGATACTGATCATTATCGTTCACAGAATAGTTCTTATAATCCTTTCCATTTATCATCAGAACAAAATGATACAATTAATAATCTTGTACAAAAACTTGAAAATCATATTGCATCTGAACTTAATCGGTTGGTTAATTTTAAATATATATATATGTTTTTTTTTTCCTTTATGAAATTTATTTAGTTTGACTAAACAACGTTTAATATTAAATGGTTCAAGTTCTCATGATTCAATATCATTTCATTTAGAACCACCTACAAAGGTTTTTAATCGAAAAACAAAAAAATAAAATACTATTTAAATAAATTCTTTGATCTTTTTCTTTTTTTTTTGTTTTCTCAAAGATCAAATTCGAATCTGATTCTGCAAATACTAGTAGTGAAACAAGACAAGATACGTTGATTCGGCATTTACAACATCGTATTAGTGATTTACGAGATGATAATACGCGTCTAAGAGATAATCAACAATCACAATCATTTCTAACAAAAAATAATAAATCAACAGATCATGAAGTAAGGCATTGTTTTATTTCTTTTATTTTTTTGTAATTAAACCTATTTTGAAATATTTTAATTAGAACGATAATCTTCAATCATTTTCATCGATGCGTTCACATAATTGTCCAACAACGTAATAAAATACAAACATAAAAAATATTTCTCTCATTTGTGTGTGTGTGATAACCTTTGTTTTGATATTTGTGTTCTTTTTTTTTTTTGAGTAGTACATATCACCACTTGTTATACGAGTGGATTCTACAAGTTAAATGAATAATAAAATAAGAATAATGACTTATGATTTTGATATTATTAGTTATTGACCATTTACAAATCAGAAGATTAAAGAAACTTATTGATTTGATGAGAACAATATATGGAAGTATTGCTAACATTTAATAAAATAGATATTCATTTTTATGTAATTATAAAAAATGAAATTCAGTGAATAATATACTGAGTGGCACAAAAGTAACATGACAAATAATTTTTTTGATTCTTTTTTTGAACATAGTAAGTTAGCTCTCATATTTATATCACATATACTAGGTGACATAATTCAAAGACATAGCATATGATCAGTACTTAAGTGTAGTAATTTGTTTAAAAGTGTACAAATATAGAACAGCCAAAAGTAAGAAAACAAACTCTGAGTTCTAACAAAACGTTTATTAAAATAATAGAACTAGAAAATGACACACAATAATATGTATTTGTGAAGTGTTTTTAATAGCGAAGCTTTTTACGAAAATTGCTCAATGTGTTCACCCTCTAAATCTTTGCAAAGTTGCAATCGCTCAGGTACTGATTGACAAGCTCGGCAACGTAATTCCATTGGCAAGCTTCGTATTATTTATACCATTTTTGGATCAGTTCCAACAGCTAGATACTAATCATATGCTGCATCTTTGAATTATGTCACCTAGTATATGTAGTATAAATATGAGATCTAACTTACTATGTTCAAAAAAAAAAATCGAAAAAATTATTTGTCATGTTACTTTTGGGCCACGCTGTATGTTTTTAATGAATTCAATAAACTAGTGCTTGAATATGACTACTATCTACGACATAATTCAAAGTATCAGAAAATCAAATTATTGAAAAAAAGGAAATAAAACATTGAAACATCAATATATCAAAAAAGTCATAAATAAAAGAACTTTTGATTAAAAAATCATTTTTTTAATGCCTCTCTGCCTAAATATTCAAATAGTCTATTTGTTCAAATATACTCGTTTTTTTTCAGATTACATGATTGTTCATTAACTAATTCCATCTAAAGAAAAATTAAAGTAAAACAGATCTTGTTGATCTTAGATGTTGATTATAGGATTCAATAGGTTTCCTCATAGAATCGAACGAGATACAGCTGTCTTGATTCTTTAAGTAAATTTATAATATAACAGTTAATATCATTGCTAAGAACGTTGTCGCTCTAAAAAAAATGTGCTACTCATGGTTGGTATTCACGCAACTGATATATCATTGATATACATAATTCATTCACATATGGTAAATTATAAAAATCTAACAAGTTGCTCTAGTGAAAACTAGTCCAAATTAAAAATTTCTCGTCAAAGGTGTAACAAAAATAAATATATTCGTAATAAACATTCGAACATTCAGTTATCGTTGAATTCTCTTTCTCATCTTTCAGACATTTTCTATGAATAACAGTAAAGTAACCAAATAATTTCAAGTTCAGAAAAGTTACAAAATGTTCTTCATTTGAATAATTTAAATGGAAGTAGGATATTTTAAAAAATATACGTATAAATGACACAAGGTAAACGTTTTTTCAGATAGATTATGATATATTAAATTTTTAAAATATTCTTATGCTTAATGATTATGATCGAACGACTAAACAATAGTTTTGTGCATTATATTGTCGATTAATATTATAAAATCGAATATACCAAGTGGCAATGATTAGACGTTTTGCTTCTAAGAATTCTGATATCTATATACTTGTATTATCATCAATAATACTACAATCATATTAAAAGAAAAAATAGGAGCAATTGTTCAGTTTTTCTTTTTAATATATTCTATATTTTGTTTTTCGTCATTAAAGATGATCAAAAATCGAATTCGTCTTCATTTAATTTTCTCTAATAATAAACTTTGTTTAAGTCTGAATTGAATTTAATAAATATAGAATTTGAGCGCTTAACTTTCTACACTAGTATTCATTCATAATACTTTGATGCATTTACAAACAGTTTCATCTCATTATATAAATGAACTTCGTAATAAACTAAAACAATATCCAAATGTTCCAATCGAAGCTGAACTTGATATTCTTAAACCAATGGTACCATTACATATATGGAAACAAACTACTATAACAAAAGATGATTATGCTGTACGTATTGCTCGTTTAGTATGGTTAATATGGAAAGAAATTCATTATATTTGGCCAGATTTTCATTTAAATGATTATTGTCTTTTTTTTTATTTGGAACAAACAGATAAAGAATTTTATTATATTAATAAAGATATTGGAGAAATCTATAAATATCCTAAAACAATTGATTTACAAACAGATTTAAATTTATCTGAAATAATAAAAAATGATTTTCATTCATGTATTTTTATTCAATATCATTCAAATGATAATTTTTTACAAAGAAAATTTCTTTGGCATCAAGATTGGATACCTAAATATCAATTAAAAGAACGACATTATGAAGATGATTTTGAATTTTTTAAAGATAATATTTGTCTCGGACAATTTGTATGTAGACATAAAAAAACAAATAAAACTAAAAAACAAAAAATTAATTAATAAGATCTCTTTTAGAGTTATGTTACAGCCATACTCATTCGTGAATGGTTAGCTATTAAATGTAAAGAATATCATATACATATGGAAAAACATGATTTTCGTCATAAAATTTCATCATTTATTCATGGAACAAATCAAACTGATAAATATGTTAATTATTTAGCACCAACAGAAGTTCAACGACTTCATACTGGATTATCTAATTCTTTATGTTGTGCTATGTAAATTTCATGAATACGACTTTCAGAGATTGATTTTTCAAGTTAGATAGGATCAAGAAAACGTTGTTTTCATATCAAGCGTTTTAGTGCAAATTTCCCTTTCAAAATCAAGCATAAGCAACATATATTAATACAAAAAAGTCTTGTTCTTACAAGTACAACATGAAACTTTTTTATTCAATTCATCTCGAGGGTGTGGGTGTGTGGATGTAGATCTTTTCTTAACTCACATCAATATTCACACTCATATCCTAAATAGTTCTAATCATTTTTAGAGTTTTCTGAAAACTTCAGTCGAAAAGAATGTATCTTTGTCGAGATATTGAATTTCCAAGCAAACTCGATTTCTATGATATGTTTGTGGCAAGCGGCTGTTTGTTGAAAATTTAATATTTCGACAAATGAACATTCTTTTCGGGTGAAATTTTCCATATACTCTAACATTCATTAGACATGTCTTTTGACAAAATTGTAAATCGAAACTCTGTTATTAGAATTTTCAGGAAAAATATCTGAAAATTGATGGAAAACTCAGTAAAATTTCATAATTCGATTTGAGAGATTGATAGATACAAGATCTTTTAGAATTTTTCTATCTTTACCAAGCTCTCTTTGTTAGTATGAACATTTCTTGTCCATGGTATATGACAGTAGAAATTTTCGATGTATTTAGTAGTCTGTTAATTTCATATTCTGAATGATTTTGATATTCATCATCAATGAAATCATAATTTTTCTTGTTTTATCATTTTACAATGATACAGAATTATTTTTTTTGTTTTTTTCTATCTATCGATTAGTCTTAACTTGAATGATAATCAAATACATTTAAATGATGCTCTTGCTCGTTTAACAATATTAAAAACTGATTATACAAAAGATTGGTATGATAATAATTGGTATTGTAATTATAATGATGGTCTTCTTCGTTATCTTATGATGAGTGTTTCATTAGTAAGATCATGAATTACTACTTCTTTAACAAAAGAAAAATTCTGTTTCTTTTTTTTTTTTTTTTATTGTTAAGCATGCTACATTTGCAATGAATTTAAATTTAAAATCAAATATTGAATATTATCAACTATTTATTCGAAATTTATTAACTGAATATGATAATCCATTACAAGGACGTATTTATGAATTAGGATCAATACAATTTTTAACAGCTATACTTTGTGATCTTGGTGGAGAAGATTCAAATATATGGAAACATTCATATAATGGAAAAATATTACATACATTATTAAAACATGGTTTGAATTCATCAACAATTAAACCTGAACTACAGGATAATGAACATATTGAAACTTTTTTTACACAATCAATTATTCAATCTTATCATCATTTTAGTCTTTTTGCTAAACAAATACATCAGAAAGGAGCTAAATTTCGTATGTAGTCTTCAATAGAAATTTTTTATTTTTTATTTTTACATATCATTTATGTTTAGTTATTCTACCAAATGAGAATACTTCAATAAAAACTACAAATGTTTCTTATTATGCTCCAGCTATGAAATATTTATTAGATGGACATATGTGGACAAAATATATTCATCATTTAGATTATTCATCAGAATATGGTACAATTAAATTACATAATATACTTATTGGTGAAATATGTCTTATACATCATCATATTTTTATTATTCCATTACAACATAATGTAATGATAACACATAGTAATCATTTGATTATAGATTCTGATGAATTTAAAATAAATATTATTGTTAATCAACAAGAAAATTATTTAAATAATCGTCATATTTATTTTATTGTTGATAGTCATAAACAAAATGACTATTCGAATATTTTCGTTCGATCTATTGAATCAACTAATAATTGTACTATTTGTTAAACAATTTTAAGAAAGTAAAAAAGAAAAAAAAAAGACAGACATATAATTCCATTTTTTTTTGCTTTTGTGTTTCTCTCATTATTTTAAAATGAAACAAAAAAACGTGGAAATATTTTTTATTTATATGTTTTATTGGGTCTATTTATTATTTCTTTTTTTATCATCATCATCTACTAAAACTTTAAAATATGACTTTCAAAATCAATCATTTCGAGCAGCTATTGTTACTTTAACACATGGAGATCCTCTACGTTTACTTAATATGTTACATTCAATAGAATATTTTTTTCCTCAATCCATCGATAAATATTCAATTATTATTTTTTATGATTCACATGGTACTGAGATACGAAATTCAACCTTAGATTATATAAAATCATGTGTTAAATTAAGATTAATATTTCAAAATATTGTTTTATTTACATTAATAAAAAATCCTACTCAAACAATTGACATAATTAATCGTGAAGTTCCAACAATTTTTCAACGTCCTATAGGTTATCGTTTTATGTGTCACTTTTGGTCACATACGGTATTTCATCATCCATTAATTAAAAATAATTATGATTAAATAATGCGATTAGATGATGATAAAAATCATTTAATGATGATCTTTTTGATTATGCAAACTTGATTATATTTATCGCGCACTTGCATGGGATATTTCATTATCAGGATCTGATTATTTACTTCCACAATATTTACGCACATATCATAATAATTGTAAATCATATTGTTTTCCATTTCAATCATATGATTCGATTTATAATAATTGTTTTCTTACACGTGTTCAATTTTGGTATCAAAAAATAATTGAAAAATTTTTAAATAATCTTTTATTAAATGATAGTATTTTAATTCATTCATTAGGTGATGGAAATATTCATGCTGTTATATTTGCATTAACATCAGATACAAAACGCTCACAAAAAATACAATTTACTTATGCACATAATATACATATATATGGAAAACGAAATAAAAATTTTGATCTACAACATAATTAGTTTCAAATACTTAAAAATAATAGTAAAAATGCTTGTCAACAATTAATTATTATTGAACCATATAAAAAACAATTAAAATATATTCATATTAGATAAGAAGAAGAAGAAATAGATATATTTTAAGAGCTGTTTTTTTTTAGTCTTACTTTATTTTGTTTGATGTTTTGGTTGTTACAATTGTATGTTAAAAATATTATTCATTGAGAAATTTTCATACACTATCATAAGTCATTCTTATATGTTTATTTGTATGAGAACATCTTCAAATATTAGACAATATTGTAAGTTCATATTTTAGTTATGAATTGATCGCTTCATAAGACAATGAAAGAAAAAGATTTGCTTTTATATTATCACTTGAATAAGATTTAATGCTTTTTACTATATCGAATGATTTTTTTTTTTAATCTTCTGACCAAGGAATGTCTTCAATTGATTGATTACTTTCTTACAGAAAACCACGGGATTGTAGGTTATCGACCTTTCTGATCTCAAATATGAGTACGAGAAATCTTTTTTTAGTTCTACATATACTGGTTTTCTAGAAAACTCATTTTCTCAAACTAATTAATAACCACTTTGCTACACTCGTTTTGAATCTGCTTAAATTACAAAGCATATTGATTTTTGTAAAAGATTATAATTTTTTCTACTTTTCAAAAATGAACTTTACATAATAGAATATCATCTTGAGAATTCTCACATTGAAGTGTTGTTATTTCTATGTTGTCGAAATCCAAGTGGTTGTATTTTCTTCAAAAAATTTTGTAACATAAAAAGTTGCTGTTTTCAAAACAAATTAATAAGTTGACATTACTATAGGACAATAAATGAATAATCATCAAACTATATATATATATCATTGTTATCTAGATGAGAACTATGCTGTTTTAACTATAAAAATTATTTATATAGTTGCAAAATTCTTCTACACGTATAAATCTGATACTGAAAGATCCCATTACAATATAACAATAGCAAAAGTTAGATGCCACCGTTGCACTCTACTGTATAATTCACTAAGTCATTCTATTTACTTGCTTATCAACAGCAAACTTCGTTCCAATCTTATAGCAGCACATTCAGATATCAAAGTATCTAATGCTGTGTAAGAAAAAAAAAGCAAAAAATGCTTCTCATACAAATGAGTTAAATATGAAATCAAATAGCATATGACAATTGAGAATACTCTCTCGGTACGATGAGGTATAACATGAATTAAAGAAAACATTTGTGTTTTACTTTGTCAAAATAATTGCAAAAGTTAACCTTTTTTTCATACAAAATTATAAGAAACGTATATCGAACTAAATAATGAAAGAACAATATTTCTTTATATTACAACTGAAAACAACGCCGGCTATAATTCAATCAAACATATCTTTTCATTTCCATTGTTTAGAACAGACATTTGTTTTTTTTCCTTTACAATATTAAAATACAATAAAAATTTATTGAAATCAATCAAGACAAACATAGGAAGTTTTTTTTCAACTAAAATACTATATTGCAAAAGAAAAAGAAATGCTAAAATTAATTTTTATCATAACTCAATTAATTTACAGCATATATCACCTTACAGTCATACATTTAGTTCCGCTTGCTATTTATAACTATAGTGAGAAAGAAATAATAATTTTAACTGACTAGTGGCAAACATCTGCATAATTTCATTCATAATAAAGAATAAAAAAAAAAAGCAAACAATATGAACTATTTATTTTTGAAAGAACAACAATATAATATAAGATCATTGCATTGCAAAATTATTTTTCTATCAACATATTATTGTCGATAGTTTTCATGGTATAAAAGAAACAATATATTGATACAAACATATTTCTTTTTTAACTTTCCAAGAAACACGAGAGCGATCGAGAAAAAGAGAGAGAGAGAAAGAGAGAACTGTGATTGATTCTTTTTTGTTTTTCAAATAAAAATAATCTCATCATATGTAGTTTATTATTTTTATATACATCTTTTTCCTTTGACGACTATATGTAAAATAAGTATATTTATCATCATCTGTATTGGATGATGATGAGCACCACAAGTGCACATTTTAGTTAAAACAACAATAGAATAGAAACACCACATAGACAAAAAAAAAAAGATATCAAAAGCGGGCCGCATACTGTTTGATCACTTTCCTGTCATCCTCATTCAATGTGCTCTTCTCTTTCTCGTGTCAACATTATTTCTGCACTTTGATTGGAACATATATATATATGTATATATACAAATAGATGATGGCGTTTATTTTCTTATATGTATTAAGAACGCTAGATATTTAATTTTCAGCATATTGCAATTACTTTCATTAGCAAACAAATAAATGTCAAATAACAAAATGAATTTTGGTTTTTATTTCTTTTTTCTTTTGTAGTCAAAGTTTTTACAGGTGTATTTATACTCAATGAAAAAATATACATTTCTTAAAGGTGTCATAAATAGAGAGAGAGAGAGAGGAAGACAGAAACAGAGATGCGCAGTGTATATATGGCGGTATAAATACTTTTATTCCTTTTATGCGCTCTTTTCGTTGTTGTCCTTTAATGGTCGTTTATTTATGTACGAGATTTACACGGCACTATGTATGTATATATGTATGTTTATCTTAGAAAGAACAACGACGGAGACTGTGATCTTCAGCATTTTATATATTGTGTATATGTAATTAGAAAATGAGTTTTGAATGTCTATGTGTCTCTTTTTTCTATTGTTCTACAAACATATACAAATGTATATATTTGCTATTCATGAATAATAACATATCGTTTATATATGAGAAATAGTTAATGTTAAATTATTATTATTATTATTCTTTAATTCCAAATATCTTATTACTAAAAGCATAATAAAGCAAAAAAACAGGAGAATGGTTGAGCTCGGGTTTTTTTTCTCTTTCTTCTCTCTCTCTCTCTCTCTCTCTCTCTCTCTCTCTCTCTCTCTCTCTCTCTCTTCAACTTTTCTTCGTTTCATTTATGAGGTTTCTTTGTTACATACATATGTCAAATTGAAATTGACTTTTATAATATCATATCAACTAGTTAAAAAAACATAAACGAACAACGGAAGTCGCATAGAGAAAGTTAATTTTTTTTTCAACTACAAACTATCGTCACATATCTTAATATAGACACGAAATGAATACTTTAGACAAACAAACTATTCCGATTGTTTGTCTTGCTTCAGGCACTTGCTAGAAGATGTACCGCACATATATATATATATATATATACATACACACATAAGTTTAGACAATGTAGTATTACAGTAGTTGTAGCCAAGTGATGTGTTTGATGTCCACAAACACATATTTATATTTTGTTTCCTCAAGAATTCATTGTAGAATAACACTAATATATAAAAAGCCCTCCGGAAAAAAGAATTACTATATATATACGGCACGCGTATGTCTCATCATTAATCATTCATAATGATGATCGTCAAAAAAAATTCTTTTCTTTTTTTTTCTTTTTATTGCTATATGTTTCTTTACATTTCTATTTATCGGATATAAATTTGATTGGTTTAAAAGAAAATGATCTTTAGAAAAACATCGAAATCTAGTCAATTGCATCATACTGTTATATACAACATTCCATATCTGATGAGAATTATCGTGATAGAGCAATAAGAAAACAAGCCCGAGGACATAATGTATGTTTATATGATGCTCTACTAATGTATATGAGAATAGGCAAAACAAGATACAAATCACATAATGCTGTTGAAAAAGAAATTATCGAATTGCACATCGACACGCACACCATGAAGCTTATCATGGTAAAACAAGTGGTTTATGTTTTTTTTTTTGCTAACTTATTGTTTGTTTATATTCGATCATAAACAATAATCATCATTATTATGTCTTCAAATGGGTGACACTTATTATTTTATATGTATATATATATGAAAAGAAAATTGATTATTTCCATATAGACAGATACACATCGTTGTTATTTAAAAAAAAAAAAGAAGAAGAAGAAATGAAAAGAAAAACACTGAATCGACACAAGACTTTCTTTTTTTTTTGTGGAATGAGAAAACAAAACAAAAAAAACACAAGTTTTCGAATATTTATTTTTTGTTCTGTTTCTTTTGATTTCTATTTTGCTGAAGAATGTCGATTATATGCTGGATTAAGGCCAAAACCATTTGATAATAAGGATAAATATTGTTGAGGAATTGCTGATAAATATGGATTATTATTGTTATTATTATTATTATATCGACAAGAAGATAACGATAAATCAACAGATTTTGTTTCTTTCGTTGGTGCAATTAATGTATCAATAGATGAAAATGCTGAAACTGTTTTTACTTTTTTATTATTATTATTGTTATGATTAATTTCAGGTGTTGGTGAACGATGTCTTTTTTTATGATTTGATGATTCTATTTTAAGAAATGTATATTGATCATAATTTGTTGTTTGATTTATATCATCATCATCATTATTTGATGATATTAATAATGAATTATGATTTGATTCCGATGATGATAATGATGAATCATCTAATGGTATAGATGATGATGTTGATGAAGGTTTTTGAACTGTTGATATAATTTGTTTTGGTCGTCGTTTACGTCGACGATAATTTCCATTTTCAAACATTTCATCACATTTTGAATCTAATGTCCAATAACTACCTTTACCTGGTTTACCTAAAGAAAAAAAAAACAGAATTTATTTGTTTTAAAAAGAAAAAAAGAATTGAAAAATAAATAAAAATAATTTTACCTTTTTCTCTTGGCACTTTAATAAAACAATCATTTAATGATAAATTATGACGAATTGAATTTTGCCATCCTTGTTTATTTTCATGATAATATGGAAAACGTTCCATTATAAATTGATAAATACCGTTAAGTGTTATTTTATTTTGTGGTGCATGTTTAATAGCCATCGCAATCAATGCTATGTAAGAACTAATAAAACAAAAGAAAAGGAAAAAAAAAAGAGAAATTCAAATAAATAAATAAATATTAAAATT